TCACTATACAAAGATTATTGGGACACATGGCAGCCTCAGTGGCCACTGTGCCACACACAAGGCTCAGTCTCTGTCCGCTGCAATTGTTTTTCAACAACTCGTTCCATCCACAGCGAGATCTACAGACCAAACTTCTTCAGATTCCATCATCGATCCTTCACACCCTGGCATGGTGGACTATTTCACGCAATCTTTCTGTAGGCGTTCCATTCCACCCACCCCAACCAACGGTGACAGTGTACATCGATGCGTCTCTCATCAGATGGGGTGCGGCGTGTGCAGGGCTTCGGGCCCAAGGGGCAGGGACCCAACAGGAAGCAGCAAGGCATAGCAACTTCCTCGAGCTTCTAGCGATTTTCAACACTCTCAAATCTTTTGAAACCGTCCTACACCACCAGGTTGTACAGATTGCATCCGGTAGCATAGCGGCTGTTTTCTAAGTCAACAAACAGGGCGGGACAAAGTCACCTCTCCTGGCCTGTTTGTCAATGCAGATCTGGGATTGGTGCATTTTCCGGGACCTCACGATACTGGTGGTTCATCTGGCGGGAACCGACAATATAGAAGCCGACACACTGAACTGGCAAATGTTAACAACCCACGAGTGGGAGTTGGACCGAGCGATATGCAATCAGCTTTTTCAGTTATGGGGACACCCGGACACAGACTTTGTTCACGACCCAGTCGAACAGGGTGTGCACACTGTTCTGCTCCAGAGCGGGGCTTGGACTGGACTCAAAGGGAGATGCCCTAATGATCGACTGGAACAACCTGTTCTTCTACGCGTTCCCTCCAATCCCACTCCTCATGAAGGTAGTGTCGAAGATTGTGCACGACAACGCCACAGGAATTCTGATAACCTGATGGTGGCCAAGGCAACCCTGGTTCACCACTCTTCTCATTCAGTCCAGAGGAGTTTTTCAACGACTTCCACTTGTTCCTCATCTGTTAACACAACACGACGGGACAGTCCGACACCCAGACCTACTTTCGCTGAAACTGACAGCGTGGAGCTTCCAATAGATCTGAATTTTCCGTCGGTTCCATTGCCGTCCCGGTCGATGGAACTTTCACTTCAACGACATACGCAACCTACTCCTCCCTCGGAACCATCAGGGTCCACCTCGGGACCAACAATGTTGCCCCAGATATGCAGGCGATTCTCGAATCTGAACTACGACCTTCCATACACAAATTGTACTCAACAAAGTAGAGAAGATTCTCTTCTTTTGCCAATGCCCGTTCCTTCTCTCTGGAGTCGGCTTCGATCGAGAATATTTTGCAATTTCTATTCGAACTTCATCGCTCGGGCTTCAAGCCTTCATCTATAAAGATCTATACGGCTAGGGGGCATTCTATGCGAGCAGTAGTGACTTTGCAGCAGGGGTTCCAATTCAGGATATTTGCAAGGCTGCAACTTGGGCTGCTCCATGTACTTTCGCCAAGCATTACCGGCTTGATGTACGCACCCGATGGGATTGTTCCTTTGGTAGAGCCGTGCTCTCTGCCATTCTTCACTGACGACACCTTCCCTCCTCCAAGTCTGGTGTGCTTGCTATTCACCCATATGTGTGATGCACAGAGGCCATGACGAAGAAGAGCAGGTTGCTTACCTGTAACTGATGTTATTCGAGTGGCCATCTGTGCATTCACACAACCCGCCCACCGGGCCCGCATGGTGTCGGTGAGTGGACTGTTTTTTCTTACTATCGGTTCTGTGCTACTCCTACGGTACTGATTTTTCTTGCTGTGATGCTGTTTTTTGAACGTTAGGGGGGTGAACGTTGGTCTTTACTGAGTAACTGAGTAAAATGGCAGTTGCTCCGCTCTATTTATACTGCAAGGGGGAGGGGAGCGGAGCATTTTCCCGCCAAAACCGTTAGCTTTCTAATCTTCCGGCCTAGGCACTGCGCAGGTGCAGCACCCATATATGTGAATGCACAGATGGCCACTCAAGAACATCAGTTACAGGTAAGCAACCTGCTCTTTCTGGCCACAAAGGGAGAGATTTATATATCATGTGTATTCCATCCTTTGTACAAGGAATGCCATACATTTTTTATTCTTTTATTCTGCATAACCCTGTGGATTGGTGTATGATGGAGAGAGGTTTGGTGATGTGGGAAAATATTTGAATCAGGTCTCCCTGCTTTATAATAGCCTGAAAGTGTCTTGATACATGTGGCTATGTAATGATCCATCAGAAATGGTGTAGCTTTTAACAAGCATCATTCTTAAGCTGATAAGACTTTGTCTTACTAACTTTTGGCCTGTGTGTGCTGTTTTTCTGGAACACCACCTAGATGCAAGGTCTACACAGGTGTTATTAAATGAATGGTGGTATCTATGAATGATAATATAAGCAGGAATTCTTCCCATTGGGTTGTACTTCAAGTTTCCAAGGCTTAAAATTGGAAGACCCTGTCAAAAGCAGTGTCTGCTCTGTTAATCACCTGGAAGCAGTTACCATTCAGTACTAATGTTTAGCTCACACCCTTCTTTGAAGGAGTTCAAGGCATCATACATGATTCTTCCTCTCCACATTTTATCCTTGCAACAAACCTGTGAAGAGTGTCCCTAGGGACGAAAAAAGGAAGGTTAATAGACAAAGAAACAAATAAGCGGAGAGATAGTAACTGGTTCAAAATCACCCAGTGCTGTTCATGACTGGATGGGGATTTGGACCTGGCTCTCATCAGTATTTGTCTGATGTGTCCCTGTGGTTTTCATCAGATGAGCAGGTCAGGATTAGAATGGCAAAATTAGCTTAAATATTTGCTTAAAGAAAGAATGGCTTGTTAAATATCACAAGCTTTTTGGAGATACAAACCTGAAATGACTTGAAATACTTTAACTGCTTTTACTTGCTCGCTTATGAATAGAACTGGGAATACTATAATTTCTAATTCATTTTGGCAGTTCATTCATTTTTTTATTTCTGTACCGCCCAATAACCAAATCTTTCTGGGCAATTCACAACAATTTCTCAAAGTTCAATAAGGATACAATAAAAATGCAGATACAATAAAGCATATTATAGAAATGTCAGTTTGTAAATGTAAAACAGTCTAAACTTCCAATATACAAAATTTAAAACAGCTTAAACATCTAGGACATTCTCAAAACAACTAGACCTAATTAAAAGAATTGACATAACCTATCATGTGTCATTCAGCGCCTGATCACAGAGGGTAGTTTTAACTTGAAACTGAAAATATGATAATGTTGCTGCCAGATGAAGTCATAATTGTGGCCCACCGCTGAAAAGACCTTCCTTTTATGTGGGGCAGTCCCATTTAGAGTGTACTACAGTGATCCAATGTAGAGATTAGCAGAGTATAGATTAGCAGGCTATCCATGTCTAGATGGGGGCATAGCTGGGCCAGCAGCCAAAGCACTCCTTGCTACTGAGACTACCAGAGCCTCCAGTGACAAAATGGATCGAGGAGAACCCCCAAACTTTGAAACTCCTGCTTTTTTAGGAGTACTGCTGAAGAGGTTGAATACCCTCTGTCTGATCAGAAAAGCCACCCACCAAAGGCATCTCAGGCGTAACTGGATTTAGCTTCAGCTTATTAATGCTCATCTAGTTCATTGTTGTAGCCAAACACTGGTGTTGCTGTAATGATATGACACAAAAAGTGTGTGTATTGGTGGGAGTTGTTGCTTGGTGTTCTGTGTGTGTGTGTGAATACACACAATATAAAGTTAAATTCTACATTGACTAGAAAATACATCCAATTTGAAAGTGGATCTTTTCAGGTCTCTCTCCCACTTTAACAATATTCACATAGGCTTACCAATGGCCAAGGAGAGATTCAAAGCTTCCTTTAGTGTGAGCTATGAATATGCCCTAAATCTAAAACCAGAAGATGGTGATTATTCCCACTCAAATAATTCAAACATAAAGAGCATCCTCTTGGTATATTCCCATTGTTAATATGCTCAGAACTCTCCCTAATGGGTATTTTAATATCTAGTCTTCTTTCAAGAGAGGTATGGATTCTTAGTAAGCATCCAACAACACTCTTCTTTAGCTTATCATATTTGCAAGCCTTGATGGAGAGTGAGTTTATCATCCAGTGAAGGAGATTCTGTATCATTCGACTACATCTTGGCTGCATTAACCTGGCACCTCTGTGGAGCAAGGCACATAATTCCTGTTAGCACAGCTTGCAGCACTTCAGAGATGCTTGTATTTGGTATTACCTAAAAGCTGCACAGTGAAATGTAGATTCACATGCTGCCAACAGAAGAGAAAAAAGTTTGTTCAGAGAGGGAAATACCAGATTAAATATTGATGGTGCTTAAAATCTCAGCGTGTGACTGGTATTTGCAAATGCACATTGTGAAGCAGGGAAAGTCAGCTTGTTGTAAGTGTTTGGTTTTTCATGATTGCGCATGTCCAGCAACTATTTTTGGAGGAGGCTGTTACTAATTTTCTGTATGCTACAGTAGTCATCCATGTGTGGAGAAACTTATCTCAAGGCAGTTGCAGGATTAGGGGTTAAATGATTGCAAGTGCAAGTACACAAGGGAACAGGACCTGCAGTGTCTTGGATGCCTTAGTTCCTCTTTTGAGAATGAACATAGTCATGTTCTACCTTTCAGGGGCTGCTGGGAGGAAAAAAACAAAGGAGGATTTTAAAGCAGGGTGTGATTTAAAATGGTATTTTATTAATAACGTCACTTTTTCTTCGCTTATATGCCACCTTGGGTATTTTAGAGAAAGGTGGGATATTGAGTCTGATGGTAATTAGTGCTAGTAATTACCGTCACTAGTAATAAATAATGAACATAAGAGTGTATGAATCTGCAAAATGCTTACTGTGAAGAGACTCTGTCAGTTATGGAACTTGTTCTAAAGAAATGTTTCATTCTCTCACATTTTCATGCTCACAACTCCTGTTACCTCCTTATACCATTTGCCTGGCACACCTGTACAAATCTCTCTTTCCTCCCCTCATACACAGTCCCTCTTTCATGCCACTTCCTTGCAGAAGACGCACCAGAGTGCGCTCCAGGTGCAGCAGAAGGCGGAGGTGTTGCTGCAGGCCGGGCACTATGATGCTGATGCCATCAGGGAATGCGCAGAAAAGGTGGCATTGCACTGGCAGCAACTCATGCTGAAGATGGAGGATAGGCTGAAGCTGGTTAATGCATCTGTTGCTTTTTATAAAACCTCAGAACAGGTGAGCTGAACAATGCCTTGTCTGGGCAGTGACACTTATGGTTTTTTTAGATTTTGTTAAAAATGTATGCTATTTAAGGCAGCTCTGACTTCAGTTCTCTGAGGTAGCTTCCTATTCATGGATGCCAGCTGTGGCCTGAAGCAGATGGATCTTCTATAGTGCCACACTGGTTGGCTGTGACCCTATTCTGGGTGGCGGCTCTGAGCTGCAGCAGTCAAGACTCACTGAATCCTGTTTTCAACCATGCTCTTGAACACAAAAGAGTCATCCATGTAACATGTTGGCATGCTGAGAAGTTGCATAAAGGATGAATGGTGAGTTTTTAGTCTGTGGCAAAATGGATGTCCAACTGAGAGGTGGATGAGCAGCCAGTTGGGAGGTGGCATAAAAGGGAGTGGGCCCTGTAATGAACTTATCAGCAGAACACACCAGGAAATGCCAATAGCTGGCTGGTGAGGGACAGAAGAATTGGCTTCTGATTCAGATTACATGATGGTGCTACATAGTGACACTGAATGCGTCCCAATGGAGGAAACCTAGTACTGTGCATCTATTCCATCCTTGTCTTTCTTAATGGGAATATCTATGATAAGAAAGGGGGTTTGAAATGGGAAGATTGCAAAGAGAAGAGTGGATCCTCTGGAACCTCTACAAGTGAAGCGGAGTGATGGTATCGGAAAACTTCATCTGGAAGCACACTTTGTGTCACCAGGAAGCCAATTAAGAGCAAGGACAGTGCTTCCTGGCCTCACTCTGAAGCTCGTTGGGCGAAAATGTCACCTGGGAGTGTTATTGCTGCTGGGTGAGCAGGAATGAGGGGTTTTGAAACTTCTCTCCTGCCCTGGCCCCAGAACCCCTTATTTTAAGCTAAAACTGTTTCAGGGAACCATTTTTGTGTATGCACATAGTTTCTTCATATATTTTCCAACAGTATATTGTCAGTGTTTGACACCCCTGCTATGTACTGTGTCACTCATGCATGAATGTCCTTTGTGGAAAAGAGGCCCAGAGTGGGGTGGGGGAAGCCAGCATCTACAAATCAGGATTTTCTACATGCTTTGGGCATAATCGTATAAAGAAAATTCATTTTAAGTAATTTCCAGATCATCCAGGGTGTATTGAAACACTCTTTAGTATCACACTATACACAAATGAGATCTAGTGAGGTTAGTACCACTTTTGACAGTTGTCACATTCACCATTAGACAAATTGAAAGCACTTTTCTCCTGTAAAACTGTCAGAATTTGAACATTTAAAATCAAGTGTTTTTCTGCTCTATACTTTTAAAATGTACTGGAAGCTTTGAGGGACTTTTTTGGAGTGGGGGGAGGACTATTTCTTCCTATTTTATTTCATTTATGTTTATAGCTGAAACACCTTTTTGATAGATTAAATGCTAATTTTTTCATATGGCTACAGAAGTAGCTGCAGCCATATAAAAGTACAGAAGGAGATGTTAGCGGTTTTTATACATTGTAGTTATCAATAAGATAATTGTGCCACATATAATATGCAAAAAACTTAATCCTCAAAAATAAAATTTCACATAAGAATAAAGCTTACTAGAATACGAGAATTGAGAGCAAACACACACTTTGTATTATTATTATTGATGATGATATGAATTATTACTGCTGCTCTCATATTTCCTTATATTCCACCTATTTTCAATATTTGGACTCAAGATGGCTTACCACACCAAAACCTTATGCAGTTAAAATATTAATAGAAATGTCCAAAAGTTAAAAATATAATTACTAGCTAGAAAGTATAATATACCAAAATTAAAGCAGTAAAAACAATACAGACAGAATAGACAGTATAGACAATAGAAATGGTCCAATGAAATCAGCCAAAGACCTCCTAGAACAGAAAGGATCTAGCCTGCCCCCTGAAGCAGATAGCAGGGAAGGTGCCAAGATAATTCCAGAGTTTTGGGGCAGCCACCAGAAAGGCCCTCTCTCATCTTCTCACTAAGCATGGCTGTGAACAAGATGGGAACAAGAAAACAGCTTTCTTGAAGATCATAGAGTACAGGCAGACTTATAAGGGAGAATTCAGTCTGGACCCAAGGTGTATACAGCTTTGTAGGTCATAACAACTACTTTGAATTGTGCCCAGAAGCAGACTTTGAGCTAGTGAAGCTGTTTCAGCAAAGGAATTCTGTGTTTCCTAAAGCTACCCTCAGTCTGGCAGCAGCTCTCCAAACCAGCTGGAATATATATCTGCCATATTTTGTTAATATAAACTTTTTGCATAGGACAGTCTTCCCCATCCTGGATACCCCCAGATAGTTGTGCACTGTAACTTCTGTCATCCGTGATAACTTGTCATACTGGCTGGGCCTCATGTGAGTTCTAGTCGAAAACATCTGGCTGGACCTAAGTTGAAGACTGCCTGAGTTAGGAATCATATACAATGTTGTCCTTGAGGCTGTCCCTTGTTTGGTTATTTGAATAGCGATAGTTTAAATGCATTAATGTAGAATTCTTCTGGAGATATTCTTGGTATCTGAGCTAATATGTTTTGACTTGTGTCTTAGGTTTGCAGTGTACTAGAGAGTTTGGAACAGGAGTACCGAAGAGATGAAGACTGGTGTGGAGGCCGGGATAAGCTTGGACCAGCATCTGAAATAGACCATGTTATTCCTTTAATCAGCAAACATCTGGAACAGAAGGAAGCCTTTCTCAAGGTCTGCTCTGTACCTCCTGTTTTTCAGTAGTCGCTTCTCTGAATGGTGAAAGCAGTTAGGCAATAATCCTTGTTGGGAACCTGTCTGCAGAATGTGCAGATTATGTTATGCATTTTGTAATTTCCCTGGAGAACAAAGTTGTATCTGCATATTATTTAATGAGAGCCATAAAAGCAACTCAGTTTATGCACACTGTCAAAAGTTCCTGTTCTCTGTAATGGTTTCATGATCAGACAGCCTACACAGTTTCCCCCAAGAAGAAATATTTCCTGGGTTTTCTTCATTTTCGGAATCATTTCCACCAAAACAAAAATGGACTGCTGCATTAATGGTGCATTTGCGAGTGGCTACTTGTATCAACCTTCAACATGGAAAAAAACAGTTTACTCCTTCCTGTTTATAGATTGAGCAATAGTCTGAAATTGTGGTTTTTCCGTTCATAGAAGAGAGCAGATGATCTCGCACAAGTTTGCTTCTCTGTTGTCACACTGCTCATCTGAATGATCTGCCAGTGTTGATGGTGTTCTTGTGCAATGGCACCAGAAGTATAGTCCAAATTAGTGTTATTAAATAACGTTTTTGGAAAAGGCACAAATAGTTACCAGATAAGCCTATGAAGGAAAGAAGCCCAGCATGTTGCCAGGCTTTCCGGAATTTCAGAAGGAACATGCAAGCATGACAGAAGAAGGTGGCATAGGGTAGACTACCACATTTGTTCTGTTTGCTTGTGTACCTTCTGAGAAGTGTGCTTTTCTGAACATAGTGCATAAGTAAGGTTATATTACTAAAGCGGGACAATGGAAGCCTTCTGTTTTCTTTTGCTCTTAGTCTTCTAAGCTATATTTCAGTTGAAAAGGATAAAGAACTCAAACCATATCATTTGTTGCTGCCTTCTTGGATTCCTTTCTTCCCAGCTCTCATTTTTTGCCTCTGAGCAGCTGCAGTAGGAGGGAATGATCAGAGTTCAGTGGCAGAACTTGCTTGCAGAGAAGCAATAGCAGAGTTCAATCTCTGACACATCCAGTTGAAAGGAATTCAGTGCTGGAAAAACCTCTGCCCTTGACAAGTCAGAACAGAGGCTTCTGACAAGCCAGGGTAGACAGTACTGTGCTAGGTGGACCTTGAGTCTGGCTAGCGTAACACGCTGCCATATACTTCTGCATACCCTGGCAGAGATGCAGTGGGAGGGCATAGCAGGCTTTTCTTCCCTATGCTGTCTAGCTTTTTACCGCAGAAAGCATTGTTCACATTGTTAAGCCATTTGTTTTTCTAAGTGACGCCATACAGATAATGTAAAATGTAATTTTCAAGATCTATTCCGGAAGTAATTGAGTGGCATCTCCTACACCTAAGGCCAAGATTTATCCCTCTCTGTCTAGGTGCCATGCCATTACTTTCCTCAGGAACCAGTCCGTTTTTCCATATAGCATGTTCTTTTGTATAATACCATGTCCAAGATGATGGATGCGTGTGACTGCAGTCTGAGGTTCTCTCAGTATTTTCTCATGCACGCCAACATCCTTTGAAGGTCAGATGAAAAAAAGAACTTCATGTCACAGTTCAGTAGGTTCCTTGATGTTTTATTCTTCTTGTGCGCTTGCCAAAAGGGTAACTGTTGTGTTGGGGGGCGGGGGTGTTATTGCTGCCCACAGGCCTGCACACTAGCACGAAGGAATGCAGAAGTGTTTCTCAAGTACATTCACCGAAACAACGTCAGCATGCCAGGGGTAGTGAGCCATACGAGGGGACCTGAGCAACAAGTCAAAGGTCAGTGTGTTCTCTGGGACATGCGTTAATGGAATGGCAGCTCGGCTTCAGGAATGTGCCACGCAATCACTGATCATGCTTGTGTTCGCAATAGAACTTTGCTTGCGCTGGATGAGATTTAGTAAACAGTGATCACATGCAGTGACTGGAAATGTACACATCTTCCCTCTCTTCACTGGGCAGAATAAGCTTACTTCCTCCATCAAATCCGTCAAATATTTATTTCATGCAAACCATGCCAAGAATCAGTGTCTACCAGGGTTTGGGAACTCAGCTCAGAGTAGGATCAAACCTCTATAAGCTGTCCAGCTAGAAATCTTAGGCAAAACAGGAGGGCCAAGCAGGACAATAAAGGTTTGCATACCCTGCCCCTGGATTACTAACATAAGGGTGGAGTTGAAAGGTGAGATACAAAAAGCAAGATGAAGGTTTGCAAGGTTAGCCATTTGTAAGGTCTGCACACACACACACAAATACACATGAATACCTTCCCACTGGAATCACTTGACATACTACTATCGTTCTCAGGGCACATACACAGTCTGGAGTCTGCCTTCTGTGAAGAGAAGAGCTGCTCTCAATAGATGGTCTCTCTGTCTAATTTTTGAGCATTCCTCTCCCAGATACTACAGGTCACCATATTCAGCAGAGTTCCCCTGTGGAGGATTTTCAGGGACCGGGGAGAGGATGGGCAGGAAAGTCCACCTCTGTCAGCCAAATTACATGTACCTGAAGATGGATCCAACTGCTTGTATTTATCCCTGAGAAAAACACATGTGGCTTTTTCTCCTCTGCTCTGTAGTCATGGTAGAAATAAGATCAGAACTGTATAGAAGTGTTAGAACTATTTACAGGTGCTGAGTGGAATGGTGTAAATTAGTGTCCTGAAACAGCAGAGGGTTGGACCTGGTGGCCCTCTTGGCCACTTCCAGCTCTGCTGTTCTATGATTCTATACAGACTATACACTTACTTGCCATTATGAATGCATGCAGATATTTAAGCTTATTTCAATGGATTTAGGAATATCCACTGACTTGATAGTAGCATTTGACTACACTTGAAGTTACTGGTGTTCTAATGGGACATTGACTGAGCAGTGATTGATTTGTTCAGCTTAGAGAAGAGCACTCTGTGCATGCACAGAATCCTTATTTCCAAATAGTTGTTGAAGAAAAACATCCCACTTGATTCAGGGATTATAGTATTGCCATTTGACAGCAAGAAAGAACTGTTTTAGAGTTCAAGCATTCAGAGGGAGGAAAGGAGGGAGGGATGAAAGCTGCAAAATGTCCTTTTTTTGGTCCAGCTACAAAATATTATAGTGTATAATGGTTTTCTTCTGTTGAAGGGAGGGACAGTTAACTCCCTCCACTACAGGAACCAGCTGCGTGAAGGTATCTGGTTCACACTATTCTGCTCAAGGTCAGAATAGGTTGTCGTAATGTGCTTTCTTGGCATTTGAATCTATGGCAGAGTATAAATCAGGCTTGCATACTGCCCTGTCTTTTTCCAAGTGAAGCCCACACGGAAATTCACAACATGGTCACTTTTCTCAGTGCCCCTTCTTGTTTTCTTTCTTAGCCGTTTAGGTACAGTGGCCATTATGATTACCTTCTTATACTTGCCTTTTTCACATGATGAGAAGAACGTGGTCTGCTGGGGCAATGATACATTCTTGGGATAGACTGGGGTGATGCTTCTACTGCTTTTTTTTATGACCAGAATCCAGCAGTTGCTAATCTGTTTCTTGACTCTGTGAACTGCTGATAAAAATGAGCCAAAGTAAATCTGCAGAACTAGCTTATTTTTCATTTTTGTTTGGATTAATTTTAACGCTTAAAAGAAGAGGAAAGGCTTAATGGCACTGGAATGCAGTAATAATCAGTATGTAGTTTGGAACTGTGTGTTGCAAATATTGGGACATTTCCCCTCACTAGAGATGTTGGAAGTGTTTGAGATCAGTATGAAGCCCTCAGGTTAATGTCATTCTTTGGTTTATATTACCAAGGAACTCTGTCAAAGAGTTTGCATGCCTGTTCATGTGTGTCTGTCTATGGGAAAAAATAGCTGAATGGATCCTGTCATTGAGACAGGTTCCTAAATAAAATTTTAAGAATGGAGAGAAGGCTTGTGAAATTGTAGGATCTGTTTACACAGGGTCAGCATCAGACATAAGCCTGCCATATTACTGTTTTAAGTCTGCAAGAGCATTTCTTCAGGCAGGGGTGGTTCTGCCATTAATAGGGTTGTTGGATCCATTAAAGGTGGCTGAGTATCAGAAAGATGCAGAGGCCATAGTGCACAGAGCCATTTTCCTGTACAAGCCCCATAGAAACTTGCGTATAGGAAGGTCTTGGTGGATTTTGACCCATATTCATACTAGAAGAGGTGAATTATCCTGAGCTATCCCTACAGTGTGCTTTCAAAACTTAATTTGGGTGTTTAAACAATGGTTCTTGTGATGTCTCAAATCCTCATACTGAGAGAACCACTTTGTGAGGCTTTCATCCCACTAGCAGTTCTACATAGGAAATAATACTGTAGATTACACATTCTGAAAAATATGTTTTCAAACAAAGGACTCATTATGGGGTTACAATGCAAACTTGTGCCCATCTGCTTGGATGTAAGACTCATGGAATCCAGTGTATAGGACTGAATGTAAAATATAGATACCTCTCCAGATCAGAACTCCATGGCACAATCCTCAAAGAGCTGCTGTCATTTGCATTGCAAATATAACATTGATAATGTTCCAAATAAATATAAATTATGTTCTTATGTATATATTATAAATACATATTATATAAGTTAAATACAGTGTTTCACAAATACCTCTCTGACTTTTCCACTTATTGTTTTGTCACAACTTGGGATTGAAATGGATTTAATTGGCATAGTTGCCACTTGATGCGGAATATCAGAATGTGAAAAAGTCAAAAGGAGGGGTGATTATTGCTGCAAGTCACTGTATACATAAATAATATATAATAATGATATATTGTACAGATGTGTGAAGTGCAAGGTGAATAGTTGTGGAATACCTAGTCCACAATGAAGTCTTTCCAAAGCCAGGCTAAAATGTTTTTTCATCCAGGCATTTTTACTTCTGCTTGTTTAAAATAATATTGTTATTATCTCTTGTTGTACTATATGATATTGGTGGATTGTATACTTCCCTAAGCAAGATGAAGTGTAGTTTTAAAATCTTTTAAGTAAAAAAAGGTCAGGCCACTGTTGATATCCAGACATCAGGCGTCCTTCTGATTTTAAAGAGTTACTCTGAACAGCCAGATGTTTAGACTGTTGCTGTCTATACGGCTTACTTTTTTATTTTTTCTACTGCTTGGCTTTACAAATGGCATGAAGTGGTCTTAGAGCAGCTGTATGTCTGTGCCAAGACCGTACAATGTTTTGTGTTGGCTGATGCCCACTAGCTTCAGTGGCTGCCTCCTCTCTGCTGTTTCGTTTTTCAAAGCCTGTCCTGAAGTGCTTCACACTAGGGAGCTTATCTCCCTGTGATGAAGTAACAAAGTGAATTGGTATTGACTTACATCTGTGTACACTTACTGAGCTGCTGAGAGTAACAGCTCTCCTCTTTTTCCTCCACAGCCATTCTGAGTGAACTACTGCAGAGGGAGAACCGTGTTCTTCACTTCTGGACCTTGAAGAAACGGCGACTGGATCAGTGCCAGCAGTATGTGGTGTTTGAGCGGAGTGCTAAGCAGGTAGCTTAACAAAACCCTCCCTTTTTCTCCATTAGGGCTAGCAGTTAATAAGAGATGGTTTAGAAGGCTAGCTGTGGAAAGGATCGGGAAGAGCACAGGTTGCATTAGGAGAGCGCACATTCAGTCCTTTGCATCTGGGTGAGTAATGAGATCCAGGAGAGAATGTGGTGAACCGTCAAGCAGTGAGCAGCTCTTGCCGCATGCACCTTTGCAGAGATCTCTGGGTTGCAGCCCAGCAACACAGCGAAGTACAAAGTGACTGTCCTAGCCTTGTGCCCTTGAACTTATGCTGGGCAAATTCAAGACAGTAGTTGCCAGACTTCCAGTTGAATGCTGTGGCAAGTAAATGAGGTTTCACAAAATGACCCAGAGAAAGTCTCCTACCTCAGCACACACTGATGCCCTGCTAATTCCACAGCCAGAGCCTCTGCCTAGCAGCAACATAAGCTAGCAGGAGCCTGTGTAAGCCGCACACCACAGCTGCTCCTAAAGTGACCAAGCAGGAAATTCTGGCGTGGCATTATCCAGTGTTGTATCCAATGCGTTGGACAGTACCCACAGGGTTGTATTCAATGATAAGCTTACTTCTTTGTCATTCATTTCAAAGGATGTACTCCAAGTAGGACTAATACAGGATAACCCATACATTCTGCATAAGTATATACAAAGTTCAGGGTGAGAGTTGTAAGATTTGTATTAGGGGCCCTCTTAGTAAGCCTTCCTTCCTCAGAGATAGTGATTTTCCTCAACTGTGCTAGAACTAGAACTCCAATCAATCATTTTGAAACATATCGGAGGATTTGTTCTTGTTTCTTTAGTGCTTTTTCTCATAATTGTAGGCCTTAGACTGGATTCAAGATTCAGGAGAGTATTATCTCTCAACTCACAACTCCACAGGGGAATCAGCAGAAGAAACAGAGGAACTCTTGAAAGAATATGGAGAATTCAAAGTACCTGCCAAGGTGACCCCTCCTTTTAATTTTTAAAACTCATGAGTTTTGCTCTAGTTCAACTAAGAATTGAATAAATATATGCTTGATTTTGAAAATTGCTGTTGAGATTCCTGGCCCAGGAACAAAATCTTCCTTTGACAAGCATGACAAATCATATAACAAACTATATGTATGAAAAAGAAAATTTGATTCTGTATATTTATTGTGGCAGTGTAAACACATCACATCTTATGTGATGACTTAAGTCTCTTTCATCTTTACAGGCAACCTCACAAGCAATCTGTATTACTAAATAATACAGAGAAGGAAGTATTTCTAGTATTAAAAGTTAAATGCAGCCCACATAAATTGGGGTTCTGTGGCTGAGATCCAAAGAGCTACTTAGGCTTACACAAGGGGTTTGTGCAAACCCAGTGGAATTTTTGACTCTGCAAGGCAGCCTAGAAATCTCTGAAATAGTAATAAAAAATACCTCCCACATACACATGTACATCTTGTCCTGTCAGTTCCCAGCACAGCATTACAACATAACAGAGTGTCTAGCTGAATAATGTTTGTTCCTCAGAAGTTGATCAGACATTTTAGTGCAATTAGCATGCACATTCTGGATAGTGTTGTTATTTTCAGTTCTCGCTTCTCGAAAATTACCTCGGAACCAGACAATTCTGTAAAGTACTGCTCACTGTAGAGAAAATTACCCCTACAGGGAGCGGTACTTTACGGAATTGTCTGGCTATGAGTATCAGTGGAAAAATGTCAGCAAAGTAACAGTGAGTATCAGCTGAAAAATTCCAGTATGAAAGTGAGTTTCAAACTATCTCAAACTGAGCTAAATGTCACTAGCTGCCTGGACAATCTATTGTTATTACTATTGTATTTTTGCTTTGTATATTTCTGCCAGATAGAGAACATGCATATTAAAAATATATAACTTGATGAAAAAGGTTGCCTGCTTACTACATTTCCAAAATACTCAAGAATGTATTATTTTAGTGGCATTTGAGAAGAACATGGAGGGCCATTTTGTTACTGTGTGAATTAAAACTGAACAAACCATTCCTGGAAGATGTGGTAACCAAAGAACACTCTCTCACTCAGCAAACCAAGGAGAAAGTGAAGCTTCTCATTCAGCTGGCTGACAGCTTTGTAGAGAAAGGACATACTCATGCCAGCGAAATTAGGAAATGGGTTACCACCGTTGACAAACATTATCGAGACTTTTCTCTGAGGATGGGGAAATACCGTTACTCTTTGGAAAAAGCTCTTGGAATAAATACAGAGGTACTGTAAGTCACGTGTTTTGCTGATATACATTAAACAAGCTAGAACTCATAGAGGAGTTAAATTGTTTATCATGTCATGGATTATGTCACCAGCCTGAACAGTCTGAAGATCACCCAAGCTGGATTTTATGAAATAAACTCGTAAGAAAGTGACATGGCTGAGGATGGTTGAGTAGGCAGCTCATCTGTTCCAGAAGTTTAAAAAAGTGCAAAGGGTAATCAGGTATTTTTGTAGACTATGGAAATTATGATCAAGTCAACATAAAACAAAAGGGCAATTCATTGGAAAGGACCATCAAAATCAATAGTTAATATATGATTAATTGTCAGTGCCAGGGTGCTTCATTTGTAGAGAGCTTCAAACTGTGAACTTCAGTGGGCTGGTCATGGTTTTTTTACCAGGTGTTTCAGCCCAGGCCTCTAGCCTTAAATGCACAGTTTACATGAAAGGGTGACCCATGTATAGAACAAAACATTATTGATAAGTTGCATTGCCATTTACTTGGCAAGATACGGAGTTCACAGGTAATTGTATTTGTCTAAACAGAATGTAGAGCTGAAACCTAATAGTCTTTTTCACATTTGTACATTCATTCCATTACTTACTTCCCTAGAGAGTGAAAATAATGAAAATTAATGTATGGAATATAAAGGTCAGGAAAATTGTTTAGATCACACCTTCCTAAAGCAGAATGTTGTTTGCAGAACGGGCTTCCTTGCCTTCTCTATCCTGCCATAGCCACTTCTCTTCCTAGAAAACTGCTCTTGAGAACTGGGAGTCCCTGTGAAACATAAGATGGCCTGGGGAGTGGTGTAAAGGGATTTTTTAAATTCCAGTTTGGTTCTTCAAATACTTAATTGAATTGATAGGTACCAAGTGCATATGATTTACTAACTTTCTCAAATAGAAATGGTAATTTGGCCTTTCTAGAGAATGCAAGTGCTGGTCTTAGGGTCAATGTTGTGCAAGGGTAAAGTTTCTCCCTCCTGCGGAAATTATGTGGCTCTGGATCCCAGTGGGGAAGACATGCCTTCCTGGAAGCAGGACCAGTGCTATAGGAATGGGTCACATAATGGCTGGAAGATGACCATGGGGGTAGGAGTTCCCAGGGCCCCCCACTCCACCACCTATCACATTTGATATGTGGTTAGCTAGTCATTAATATCTGTGCAGGTAGAACTGGGTCATCTCATTCCCTGAAACCCTCTGTCAGAGTTGTCCACTGCCCCTCTTCCAGTGGTATTATCATTCCTTTCATCTTTCTCACTTTGTAGGTGTGCTGACTTTTACAAAGCATAGGTGTGCATTTAAAATCCATGTCATGTCTTTTTTCAGGATAACAAGGACCTCGAATTGGACATTATTCCAGCAAGTCTGTCAGATCGTGAGGTGAAGCTGCGCGATGCCAATCATGAGGCTAATGAGGAAAAAAGGAAGTCAGCCAGAAAGAAAGAGTAAGTGGTGAGAAATGGGAAAGGCAAACAGCAGTAGCTTCATCTCAGCAGTTCAACAAGCCCACCCAGTTGTGAAGCACATGAGACAGCACCTTCCACACTTTCTGCTGAATTTTATGCAGGCCAAACACTAGAATTTGAATAGAATTAAGCTTCTGGGATTAATCCCTTCCTGATGCATTAAATCATAATTGTATTACTGCATCTCATCATAGGCTGCATCTCTTCTGTCTTTGACAGTGACTTGTGATAAGTTTTGGGGGAAAGTGTACAGGGCAAGTAATTTAATGGAACTTTGCCTTCAGACATGAAATGTAAATCATAAAGGTTTGTCCTCATTGCTGCCTATCTGCTGTGGAAGGAATCCCTCAATCTTCTCCCCCTTTTGAAAGTTTTGTCCAAGGGACAAATTACTGAGAACTGGTTAGGACGGTGCTGTCTTATCACAGGAATGTACCAATTCAGTTTGGCCCTCAGCCGTCCAATGGAGCTCCAGTGCTGTGCATGCGAATTGCCTGTTGCTGTTGGCTTGGTTCACTGAATGGCTGAAACGAGTTGCATGGTTTACAGCAATGAAACATCACAGTAAATAAACTAAAAATACCACATAATGGAAAGATAGTCTTTCTTTCCTTGTGTGTAACTAAATGTTTCTTGTTGTTTGATCAAGATAAATGTTCTAGTTCTACAGTAAGATTGATATTATTTTCATTTATTTTTAGTTCCAGAAATCTTTACAGTTTATGGAATTATGAAAGTATTATGCAAATCACAAGGGCATGCCAAGATATTGTCAGAGATGGCTTCAAACATAGGCCAATGTATTCTAAATAGATTTCCTTAAAACAGGAAGAAAATACAAATACATTAGAGACTGGAACCAATGTAGACTGAGAAGAAGGAAGAAAATGTCTAAAAGAATTATGTAACCCAAGTGCCTAGCATTTACAGTGGTGCTTTACATATGTAATGTAACTATCTTTTTTTCATTTTACTCATTTTTATATTACATATAATCCTGGCTTTCCTTCAAGGAGCTCAAGGCAAAGTACATTATTATCTTCCCTATTTTATCCACAAAATAACCCTGTGAGGTGGGTTAGTCTGAGAGAGAACAATTGGCCAAAGGCCACCCAATTAGTTTAATTGCTCAGTGGGGATTGGATGCATTTCCCCCATTCTAGTCCAACACAGTACAGCAAAAAGAGAGGCTTAAATTCCCTTTTCATATATAACAAGCACTAAGCAGAAGGGTGACCAAAGCTGCTTACTGTATCCCCACTCTTGTATTCTGTAATCTTTACATATCTTCAGAAAGATGCTTATAATGTAGAAATGTGTTCATATATAATGAGATAGCAAAGTTAATTATATTTTATTATTTTAACTGCAAGGTGTAATTCAGGCTGCCTAGAAAGATAAAGGCTGCAATCATTTTTTCCAAAGGAAATATGCATAGGGTTTGATTATGTAACATTTAAACTTTCTTTCTTTCTTTCTTTCTTTCTTTCTTTCTTTCTTTCTTTCTTCTTGTTTTAAAGTAGCATTGAGTTCTATCCAGTTGTGTTCCTCCATGGTACTAAAGCTCTTTTCTCTAGTGGAAACTTCCATAAACCATAAAATTTCCAAGTTCAAATGTTCAAATTTCTCTCATTTCTCCTGCAACAGCCAGTGCCTCTCCTAAGTAATTACAAGGCACCCTACAACAGATTTAGCAGGGCAGAGAGGACTGCTGTGGGAACAGGGAAATCAGCAAAAACTGCTATTTCATTGTGTTCCTGGAAACCATTGCTGATCTGAAGAGCCTTCTGTAGCGAGGGAGAATCACAACTGGATACTTACGTGTGTGTATATGTGTGTTTAATATGCACATATATTCAAAGGCACTTCTCCTTCTAGATTCATCATGGCTGAACTGCTTCAGACTGAGAAGGCATATGTCAGGGATTTGCATGAATGTTTAGAGGTATGTTCTCAAGTAAGCACAAATACAGATTTGTTGTTGGAAAAGATCCTATGGTGTTTTTGATGCCATAGTAAATGCTTGTTGTAAATGCTAAAAGCTTGAAAGGCAGCTGATGCATCGTCATTACAGCAGATGAGGCCTGCGGAGAGGTTCATGGAGCTCTGTATGCTGCAGTTATTGCATGGCATCAGATGGGGAGAATCCCTTCATGCTGTTTGTGTCCCAGCAATCTGTACATGAGCAGCCTCTTACATTTTGCACAGATGGAATGATGTGGAATGGTTGATAGATTTGGAATTAGCATATTACATTTTCTATAGATACGCAGCACAGCAGCAGCACGAGTGAGTGCATGAGAGAGAGAAAGGGGGAAATTACTTCCAAATGGAACTTCAGAAAGGGATTCTGTATGCCTGACATGCAAGGAGCCACAACCATTGAACATAGCCTTAGAACTGTCAGCTGTTCTATGATGGGCAGTTGTTATTGGAGCAGCCACAGTCCTTTTCAGAGGGGAGCAATGGGGCTGTGGGTTGATGATTTGCTTATAAAGCTTAGACCTACACATTTTATTGAGTATTCTGTGCCTTTGGCAAGAATATGGAAGATGGTTCTTTTCTTTGGTACTTTTTTCTGTGTTTAACAACTGCTGTTGTTTTCTAGACCTACCTTTGGGAAATGACGAGTGGAGTAGAGGAGATACCCCAAGGAATTCTTAACAAGGAGCACATAATATTTGGCAACATACAAGAGATCTATGACTTTCATAATAAGTATGTTTTCTTAAGCATTTTAATAAAAGTTTGCTCATGGAAGGATATCTTTTTCAGTCAGGCCATATAGTCTCTGCCAAGAACTGATCCTAAACTATGGACAATGAGGACAGTTATGTTACTGATGGTATCCTGGGAAATATTGGACAGGGCTAGCCCACATCATAGCATACTCAGAGTAGATACCACTTCTGTGTGATAACACTTCCACTTTGACACATACACACATGCCGAGAAGTAATATACATTCTTCATCGTGGCCTCTGTGCATCACACATATGGGTGCTGCACCTGCGCAGTGCCTAGGCCGGAAGATGAGAAAGCTAACAGTTTTTGGCGGGAAACATTCCACTCCCCTCCCCATTGCAGTATAAATAGAGCGGAGCGTCCGCCATTTTACTCAGTCTCTGCGACTGCCGTTCGCTGTGCCTCATGCCTGCTCGTCTCTCGCTTAGATCTTGCCATGTGCTCCTTTACGGTTATCTTGTTCAACTTACCTTTTCCTTGTTATGTATCCCAGTTTCTCTTTCATTCTTTCTCTAAAAAAAAAACAAACCAAAAATATTACTTACCCTCTGTACTATCATCTCTTTTTTCCTTTTCATGATGGCACAGCAGGCGGCATTCCACAAGTATAGTGAGTGCGGCTCCAAAATGTCTCCCGCGGACCCTCACGACTTATGCCTCCTCTGCCTCGGCAAGGGGCATAGGACCGATAAGTGCAGGCATTGCCTGGCCTTTACCAAACAGGCCAGGAAGAATAGGGGGAATCGTCTCCGCAAGTTACTTTGGGACCAGGCCTTACTTCAATCTGACCAGCTGGTCTCAAGGCCTACCCCCTCCTTGGCTGAATGCCTCAGCGCTCTACCTCTACCCCGGCCGCGCACCCTAAGCGCCCCGCCTCAACTTCGGCTGCACTGCCGCAGCACCCTTCGGATGAAGATGCTGCTACAATGGAAGCGCAACAGCTACCTTCTCCTCCAGCCAAACAAAAGGAGAAGCGTAAGCATTCAGAGCCGGAAAACCCCTCCAGCCATAAGAAGCCGAGGAAAGAGAAGGCGGCTAAGGTGGCCCACAAGGGCAAGAAACCTGATCTCCCCAAACACCGAGGCTTGGGTTCGTCAGGGTTCTTGGCACCGACTGCTGCCACGGTACCGACTCCCTCGGGAATGGCCCTGCAGTCCACAATGCAGGTGACGCCGCCGGGATCCCCCAGGCCTGTTCTTCGGCCTGAGAGCGTGTCTCCTCCACAGGAGCCACTGCTTAGGGAGTCCATCTCTGATGGAGAAATTAGAGATTCCCCACCAAGGCAACGCTCCCCGACGCCAATGCCTGCTGTTGGGCCGCCTGAGGGATCAGACTCTCCTCCTAGGCGTAGGAGCTGCTCGTTGGAGCGCCATGCAGATGACTGGTCTATGCACGGCTATGGTGGCTATCCTGCCTGGAGTGGACTCCATCCATATGCCTTTTTTCCTCCGGACCGTCTCTCGCCGTCGATCCTGAGAGAGGCACCGCCCACTTCTGGCCATATGGAACGCAGACCTCCACCATCTCCTGAAAGCTCTTCGTCCAGTGAGCATTATCGCTACCATCAAGACTCGGACGAGTCGGAAGTACACTCCACGTCTCCGGACGTGGCTATTACTTCCCAAGACCTGGGATCCCTGGGTGAGCCCCATGTTTCTTTCTCAGCTGGTTTCTCGTCTAGTCCGGTCGCTGAAGATAGATGCCTACCAACGCCCCGGGCCCAGCCCAGACCGGTTTTACGACATCATCCGAGGGGAGCAATCTGCCACCGTTGCCTTACCGTTGATCACCACGCTTCGCCAGGCAATGGTTCAGCCCTGGGACCAACCAGCTTAGCCACAGGCGATGTCTCGCTGGTACGAATCTATGTACTGGGTCCGAGAAGACGACATCCCATTCCTGCTGCACCACCCGAAGCCTAATTCGGTGGTCGTCGAATCGTCCCAGGGCAGGGAGGCTCAGGGACATACAACACCCCGAGACAAGGAAGGGAGGAAGGATGACATGATTGTGCGCTGGGTCTACGCGGCTGCAGGTCTCAGTTTGCGTATTTCAAATTATGTGGCTACACTGGCACATTACCAGTACTTCATTATGCAAAAGCTGAAAAACATCATCTCCTCCCTCCCGGACCAGCAGGCAGACCTAGCCAAAGTCTTTTTAAATGAAGGGAAGCAGGTGGCCATTCAACAGTTGTCTACCACGAGACATCACGTAGACACTGATTCTCGGGCCATGGTCAACACTATCTCCCTCCAACGACATCCGTGGCTCAGGAACTGCAATTTCCCTGAGGAAATGAAGGGAATAGAAGAAATGCCATTCGAGACTCCGGCTTCTTCCACGCGAAGACCAATCAGAAACTCAAACCCATCCACGAGTCCCGTATGATGGCGTGTCGAATGGAACTCCCACAAGCAAAACTTAAGTGGCCATGGTCCAGACCCTATGGGTGCCAGCAATATCAGCCTCGCCAGCAGTTCCACCAGCGCCAGCAATGTAGAAGGCAACAGCCTCAACAGCGCTTCTCCCTGGGCCATAGGCGGTTTGACACCAAGAAACGTCCCCGTTGATGGTCCCGGCGAACCAATTCATCTCTCCACCTTCCACCTTCCCCTCTCCCCTTTGGGAGTCAGCTCCAAAGCCGACTTCCCATTTGGGTGGCCATTACATCTGATAGGTGGGTGCTGTCCATCATTCAGCTCAGATATAGAACAGAATTCGACATGGTTCCACCATCGTGCCCTATCCGATTTACACCACCATCTTCGGTTCTGTGCGATGAAGTCCTTCACCTTCTTCATAAGGGAGTCTATATATATTCCTTTGCCAATGCCCATTCCTTCTCTCCAGAGTCAGCTTCGATCGAGAATATTTTGCAATTTCTATTCGACCTTCATCGCTTGGGATTCAAGCCTTCATCTATAAAGATCTATACAGCTCCTATCTCGCATTTTCATGGCAGCATCCAGGGGTCATCTGTTTTTTCTCAACCCCTGATTCGCCGTTTCCTTAAAGGGCTACAAAATTTGCACCCTGTTATGCCGACGTGGAGTCTTTCTGTTGTACTTCAGGCCCTTACAAAGCCTCCATTTGAACCTTTGGCAGCGGTGGATTTACGTCTAGTTTCATGGAAAACTGCCTTCCTTGTTGCTGTTACTTCAGCCAGAAGAGCCAGTGAACTGTGTGCTCTACGCACAGACCCACCGTTCCTGAATTTTCACAAGGAAACAGTCGTTCTTCGAATGGATTCTGAGTTTCTTCCCAAGGTGGCTACACCGTTTCATTTGAACCAAGACTTCGTCCTCCCTGCGTTTTTTCCATCTCCGTCGACTCCAATTGAGCGCTCTCTCCATACGCTGGATGTTCGGCGCTGTCTAGCCTTTTACAGGTCTCACACAGAAGTGTTTAGGAATTCTAATAGACTTTTTGTCAAGTATGCTGATCATGACAAGGGCTCTCCAGTCTCATCTCAGCGACTGTCTAAATGGATTGTGCAGACCATAGTCTTAGCCTATCAGTTGGCAAAACTTGACTTACCCTCACTCCCGAGGGGGCATTCTATGCGAGCAGTAGTGACTTTGCAGCAGGGGTTCCAATTCAGGATATTTGCAAGGCTGCAACTTGGGCTGCTCCATGTACTTTCGCCAAGCATTACCGGCTGGATGTACGCACCTGACGGGATTGTTCCTTTGGTAGAGCCGTGCTCTCTGCCATTCTTCACTGACGACACCTTCCCTCCTCCGAGTCTGGTGTGCTTGCTATTCACCCATATGTGTGATGCACAGAGGCCATGACAAAGAAGAGCAGGTTGCTTACCTATAACTGATGTTCTTCAAGTGGTCATCTGTGCATTCACACAACCCACCTGCCGGCCCCACATGGTGTCGGTGAGTGGACTGTTTTTCTTACTGTCGGTTCCATGTTATTCCTACGGTACTGATTTTTCTTGCTGTGATGCTGTTTTTTGAACGTTAGGGGGGTGAACGTTGGTCTTTACTGAGTAACTGAGTAAAATGGCAGTTGCTCCGCTCTATTTATACTGCAAGGGGGAGGGGAGCGGAGCATTTTCCCGCCAAAACCGTTAGCTTTCTAATCTTCCGGCCTAGGCACTGCGCAGGCGCAGCATCCATATGTGTGAATGCACAGATGGCCACTCGAAGAACATCAGGTACAGGTAAGCAACCTGCTCTTGTGGTTTGCTCTGCAAATCCTTCCAGTGGTGTCAAAAGATACCACACCAGCAATAAATGTGCCAGAAATATCTAATACTGACCCTTAGTCCCCTGTATGATAGAGAGATGGATATGGCAGTCCATGCTACACATAGCACCTTTTACATGAAGAGATGCTGTGTGACAGTGGCCTGCTGAAGCTCAGTAGTCTCTGTTGGCCTAATCCCAAATGTGGTTAATCCGCATTAAAGCCAGAGCTGGCACTGTATGCCATCGAAAGCCATTGTAGGTTATCTAAAGTCATCTAGAGTCAAGGTAAAATTGGAGGGGTCTTTTGAAATATGTGCAGGAAGTTTCATCATCCAGCACTGACTTAGATGTGTAAATTGTTTCCCTGCCGCAAAGCTTGAAACTGTAGGCTGTGGTTAGGGGAGGGCAAAGAGCATCGTAACTAATTGTAGTCCTTTGTCTTACTTTTGCAGCATTTTTCTGAAAGAACTAGAAAAATATGAACAACTCCCTGAAGATGTGGGTCATTGCTTTGTCACCTGGGTAATGCATCATGACATAATACCATTTGCTAATGGGTGTCCCAGAATTTGTAATAGGGACTGCACAGCTTTAAATAGGCCAGAGCACTGTGTAATCCTTCAGGTGGTAATTTGTTGAAGGGCACATGAATCTTTTATAGGAAGTTTTTCCTGCTGGCCATCTAATAAGTCAGTATTTGCTAAAAGGTAATTTGCAGCTCATCACAGGAATGCCAGGCTGCTGCTATGAAGACAATGTAGCATAAAAGGCACTAAAAAGATGAGGTGAGCCCTTCTGAAACAGGGAGCTGGGTTGAATGCTGTATCTTTGGAAAGAACACAATGGCTCCCTTTAATAAAATTGGGACTCATTGAAATAAACTATAGGTTTTTTTCCTTGTGTTTATTATCCAATTCCCTTTCTCCTGTACATGCTGTTATATAGATGGACATACTTTGAAATGTTAAAATTCTAGCATTCATTTGCTAATGTGGATTTGTTTCTGATCAAAAAGCTTCTATGAACTAAGGGCAAGTTAGAGGTAGTGCCCAAAGTTTAAAAGTGTACAATACATGTAGGGAATGAAAATGCTCATGTTTAGATTTTAGAAAATCTCCATTCTAATCTAATTAGTTCTGACCCAGCTAGTGCTACCCTTTAGATCAGCCATATTTCAGTGGCAGGAGAGTCTTCCAATGCACATAGAAAGATGTCTGTGGGCATTACGGATAGGATTTTCAAAAGCTCTGGACAGGCACAAATTTTAGTTCATGTGAAATACAATCATGCTTATCTCCAGAGGAATGTAGCTGTTTCTTGTAGTGTTCCAACATGAAGCACATATTTTACTTTTATTGTTCCATTTTTCTGTAATATTTTATTGATGAAGGGACAGATTTATATTATTCATTTATTTATTATGGGAGCTTAAGGGGAAATGATGCAAACATGACATTTCTTTTCTTGCTCCCCCCCCCCCCCGATGTTTATTTTCACAGGCAGATAAATTTCAGATGTATGTTACCTACTGCAAAAACAAACCTGACTCAAGCCAACTGATCCTAGAGCATGCAGGAACATTCTTTGATGTAAGCACTTACTGCTCATTCCTTTTATATTAGGCAATTATGCATGCTTCTGTTTTCCTTCACACATCTCTCTCAAAAGAATATGCACACGCACACACCCTGCGTGGCTTGCATTGAATGATGACTGTCAGTGGAACCAGGAAGTGAAAATCACCCCACCTTTCACAGTCCCCTACAGATAATTAAAATCTGCTCCAGCAGTCTAGGAAAACCTCTGGAGCAGATTTTCAGGTGGGACAGAGGAATGCAGGACCAAGGAGAGAGAGAACACTTCTTCACACTGGTGGACTTCAGTGCTATGACACTGGATTTAATTCTTTTAGTGGGTGCAAGGGGAGAATGAGCGCAGGCACCAGGGCTCTCTCAGCCCTAGTGCAAAAATACTCACATAACGATATAGAGGATTTTTTCTCATCAGAAGAGCATCTGAGCTGTATCCACTGTAGCAGCAGTCCTGGAAGCAGCTAGAAGGCATCCACTGTGCACTTGTAATTCCTCACGGATTGTTCTTTACAGGTGCTTTACACAACATTGTCCTCTCCTGGTGACAATGCCATGCTTTCCAAGCATTTCTGCAGCTTTTTTATTATGATTGGAATGAGAAAAGTTTAGTATTCTGTGGAAATAGCAAAATGAACCAAAAGGAGAAGTTCATGAATTTTTGTAATTCCACTATGCTCCGACACCACTTTGTGGTTGTGCCATGGAACATACAGAAAAGTGGAGGGGGAAAAACACGTGCAAAGCAACCAATTTTAATCCTGCAAAGAATCTGGAAGGCAAAGCCTTGGTAAAGTGACAGGCTAAAAGCATTCTGAATAGTTGAATCATTCTCTCTTTACTGTCTATAGCAAAACAAACAAGCACCACTCTGCTTCTGTTTTTTTTTTTAACTGTTTAAGCTGCACTTACCTGCTTTCTAATACATAGAGTTTGCCTCATACAATGTGTGTTTGTTAAGTTCAGGTTAGAATAATAAGCTATTGTGCCTTTGTTCCCTTTGCTCAAAGGGCTGAGAGAATTTTTATGAGTTTGCACCTGAACTGAGATAAGTTTTACTTTCTAAATAGGTTTAAAGCACAATGCCCCTCAGAGTAAAAAGTTGCTTTTACTAGATCTAAGAAGCAATAATATGCTTGTACTTTCCTGTGCAGCTCTTTGAATTCAGACCTATTTTCATACCAGTAATTAATGAAATGTACATTCAGTTATAAACCTAAATTCAGCGAGAAATTTCATGTTTGAACGGCACCAACTTGGACCTTCTTTTAAAATATTTGCATTTATACTAAGACTCACAGTTACCTAAAATATGAGAAGATTTTATTTACATTTCCCAAACAAAACCACCCAAACACACTATTATTCTTAAATTGCAACTATTGTAGGACCAAACTGGATAAGATATTGGAGTTTGACTTCCCCTTTTCTAAAGCAGATAGTAACTACAAGGAGCACATTTCAGTTTGGGAAATAAGGTGCTAAGAAAGGAGGCTTAACTCTTTCTCTCAGCAATATTTAGCTATTGAACATTCTTCCTGTTGTGCTTCTGTTTGTCCCTTTGGGCATGTGAGCATTAAACTGCTGTTATTTCTGGTTGAGCTATGGGAGGTATTCAGAAAGCCAAATCTGGAAGCAAGATTTTCTCTCTTCCTGTACAGATCAACTCTTACCTACTTGCATTACATGTAGTAATCTAGTTTGGTGGTATCTCTGCTCTGTTTTGCATAATAATTTATCTAATCCTAAAATGGGGGTCCTTTGTTGGAAATATCATCCCTTGATAGTCTTTCTACCTAGTGCAGTGCTAAAGCATTTTACCTGCCATTGATTACATTTTTTCTTTTCAGTTCAGTGCTTGGAACCTTTGAAATGACTTACAAAAGAAAAAAAAATGAAGCGACTGTATTATTAATTAATTGAGCAAGGTCTCTTAGGAGTCTCTTTCAGGATTATCCCTGTCCTTTTTGTGAAAATATGGATGATGGTTAAATACAGTAACCAGCAGGTGGCATTCAAGCCTACTAAAAGGTTTAGAGAAGGAATCTAACATTTCAGCAGATTTACATGTTTAGTAGGGTGTTGACACAGATTTAAAAACATTTGCCAGGCTAAGCTTTTACAGTCCAGCTGTGTTACCCTGCTTGGAAACCTTTTGATATTGCCTAATACCAAAAGCTGATGTTTAAGACCAATTCTGATTTTTCAAAAGGATGCTGTGTGTTTTTTTAAAAAAAAGCTGATAGGGTTGTAAATGCTTTTTCCAAAACAAAACAAAAATGGAAGAAAAGAGGCTAGCTTCCTCTGTACTTCTGACAGTTAAATTTCTTATGGCTTGAGCTGTAGTTTGACCTAGCTGTTAATATGTTCATTTGCCTATGCAAAGAGATTGCAAAATGTTCCTGGCTTGGTTTGGCACCTCTTCAGGTGTGCCCTACAAAGCCAGGGCAGCAGAAAATCAGGTCTAGAAAATAACATGGTAGAAATTAGGTGCTGTAGGGCATTAGCAGACTATTTCTTGACTTTGGCCTTATATTTTGAACAGAAAATGCTTTTTTTCAAGTACAAGCTGAGAGTAGCATAAAAGAGCACTAAAATTCTTAGGTATCCCTCACCCACAGTCCATAATAACAAGACTGCATAAGACAAAGGCCACAGACAAGTCTACTACCAGAAGTAGAGCTCTCCATGTGCTAAAATGATTGGAAAGCCCCTGAGTCCAGGCTTCGGGGATTTGTGTTTAACGAACCTCCTGTTTTACTGTGGCTATACCAGAAATAATTACCTGTGAGGAGGCAGCAGGAAGCCTTCAGTGCTTCCAGTAGCTAAGCAGTGAAGGGCAGAGCCTGTTCTGTGTGAATCTTGGTGCAGCGTGGGTATCTCATTACAGGTTGTGGGTTACAGGCTAAGGATGGTAGTGGAAAGAACAGCACTGCACTCTGACTCTGTTCTGCCCTCCTGAAATCCAGGATCCTTGACGCAGTTCATATTGTTTTTCTGCTCTGCTCCCCAGAGGTACAAGCTATTCAGCATGCAGCACAATTGTGCACTTCACAACCCATGCATGTAAGAGTAGATTGTGGCTTCTTTGCATAGGCAAATGCGGTAGTATCCCATCCTTCTGTGCAACCCAGGCAAAAAGCAGAGGGGAACCTGGACTAATTATAGACACTCTACTTGTTATACAGTTCTTTGTGGGAGGAACCTGGACTTCAGGTAGCATAGCAATTAAGAGATTATGCTAAGAAATGACAGTCTCTCATTCAAATACTCAGCTGAGTGATGAGTTTCCTGGGTGACCTTAGACAAACGACTGAGAATGATATCAGTCACCTTCACATAGTTATAAGGAGGACTGAGCTAAAGCATATCATGGATAAGGACACTTGTGTACTTTGCAGTAGGATATATGTGAAAACCAGTGTGTTCATTGGATATGCCATGCAGGGTATGTGCTCTAGGAGTCTGTGACCAACTGAGTCTTCCCAACATTGTATAGAGTAAAAAGTAAACGTAGGGGGCAGCTGTGTATAAGATCTTCACAATTTCTGAGTTACTTGTATATTATTTTAGCAGCCTAAACTGACTGTGCAAATTGAAATTAGTCATGGGGCAGAATCAGTGAATCTTTCTACTGTTTTAGCCATTAGCCATTACCTGGGAACACTGCAGAGCAGCTTCACTCAGTATGTATCCCATCACTCCGATAGATTTTTGCGATGGCCCTGCTAGTTCTTCTTTATTGTAAGCCATCCTGGGACGTCAGTCGTGGACAGGGGTAGAAAAGTTTTCAATAAATAAATATTTCCTAATTTTCCCAGGAACCATGCAGCAGTAGATTCACCCCTTTCCTGTGAGGAGAGCTTCTGTTTGTGCTTACTACATCCACACCAACCTTTAGAGTAAGACGAGAGAATTCTGCTAGATGAAGCCATCCTTCTTCATGCTGTGTTTCTCACTGCTCTTCATGGAACAGAGGAAGTGCAGAGATTCACAGCCACTTTCATTCCTCCCTAGCATCATGGGCCTCACTCACCTGTCTCTCATGGAAAGGACATTCCTATCGCTAGTGACACTCTGTTGGGTGCCAACACTACTACTCAGATTTCAAGGATGCCAGAGGAGGCCTGAGTCCCCTTACCCTTTACATTGGCCCTTTAGCAACTCCTTTAGAAGAGGGTATGGTTTGACTAAACTGGGGGCATCAGGAGTTACAGTTTTTTTATGCCATAACGAGCCTTTCCACACTTTTCTGCCAAAATCAGCCAATATATTGCCATTTTCATTTTGCAGATTTTGACACTTGTCATTGCACTCCAGTGTATAGACGTTTTGAGTTCAAAGAGCAAGTTGAAGAAGTTTCTTATGCCTGGGATTGTGATGAGAATTTAGTTGGCTCCCTCTGTTTGCTGTACAAAAAGGATGTGGTCCATATTCTGTCCCATGGATTGTAATGGGCTTGGATTACACTCAGACTGAATAAACAGTACCCAAAGGTGTCCTGTATGTTATTAAGCAATCTAAGTGTCAAATGTATAAGGGTTTGTACCATCCCAGACATAAAATTTACCTAGGCTTTAATGGTAAATATCTAATTTAAATCTCCATAAATCAGGAAAAAGTCATATTTATGGGAGTAAATATCTACTTAAAGCAAACCATTTATTATTTTCTGGGCAAAGCCTTAACTGGCACAGTTTCAAAGAGCACTTCTCTAGAAATGACCACAGGGAGATTACAAAATTTCACTGTGGTTTACTGTTGTTCTTCAAGAAACCACATAATAATTATTGGGTCCAAAGAATTGGTTAGCTCAGGTAGTTTGCAGCTAAAATTGATTATATGTGGCTAATTTTGAAACTGACTAAGAGCCTAGGAACATTTTTGTTGCATTCTGCATATATATATTTAACTATATTTTGGTTCTATTTAGTTTTTTTACTTTTTTACAGGAAATTCAACAAAGACATGGGCTGGCCAACTCCATTTCCTCCTACTTAATCAAGCCTGTCCAGAGGATTACCAAGTATCAACTTTTATTGAAGGTAACATCAGTGATGTGTTATTGTGCTTATGGTTTTTATATATGCATTTATTTAGTTGTGTGCATACTAACCTCTACAAGGAAGCATTACCTGGACCATTAGAGCATCGTCCCCTACTTTGATCCTTCTCCCTGGCCTTCCTCCTCCCTTTTACCACATCTGCCTGACTCCAGCTAGAAGGCCTCTGGATATTCCTGTGTTCTGAGTACAGTGCCCATCATACAGTTGGTACCAAATAACATTTAAATAAGTCACTTATACATGAGTGCTAAGGAGGCAATATGTATGAGATAACAAATCATATTATTCCAACATAATATTTAAGCATTGCTTTGAAGTATATAGGAAAACTGTGGGGATGAATCAGACAATCTCAATCCTAGGTGGCCTGTAAGTCTGCTTACCATACCAAAACCGGATCATGACTTCCCTCTCACCCTGTCCTTCCTCAGCTGCCACCAGCCAGTCATGCAGAGAAATGGTGTCCAGACAGGCCTCTCCTTCTACATTCCAGCATGCAAAGGCCATTGTTACCATTGGATTTCCCAGATAAAACACAGGAACAGACAGCACAGTCTGAACTTCACACATTATTAGATTGCATGTATAAGTTATATCTAAATATTGTAACTAATATTTTAATGTTGATATTATTTTAATATAAATATTATTAATAAAAAGACATGAACAATAATTAAATAGTCAACTGTTATGCCCTAGTGTGGATGGCTGGGAACATCAGAATGGAAGGGAGGCAGCTATGCTAGAAGGGAGGGGAGGTGATTGACTGGGATTGATTGATTGAATTACATGTATATGCAGCCCAGTAGCTGAAGCCAAGAGTACATTTGTTCCTGACCCAATAGAAAAGAGCAAACAGAGTTCACATAATTTGATCCTGACTCGTATTGATTATTTCTGTGTGCTTGTTTGTTTCCCCCATAAACAATATAAGGTCTGTAGCAAACTGTTTTCTGTTTTTTAGTTAGTGGTCTATGTAATTGTAAAGGATCCACAACTTATTTTGAGGAGCTGGTGACAGGGGACTAGTTATAGGAACAGTCTGTCTTCCAGCACAAACCCCACTGAAATGAATGTGAAATATTTTAATGCTGTGATTTTGTCAATCACAGTCATTTAAATGGATCTTGTTTCTTTTATTATTTTAGCAGTAGTAGAAATGAAATTATATATGTGTATTAGATAAAGATACATTTTGCCAGGTATGGACAGGTAGGATTCTCATTGTCAAGTACTAAGTGCTGTTACAAATATCCAGCTGTATTGCTATTTTCCTTCCGCCAGATGTTGATTACTAGCAGCATGTATGCTTTTGATTTCTTTTATACCAAACTTCCTGTCACTATTGTGCTATCATGAAAAATAACTAGATAATCACCTTTTGAAAATATGTAGCTATTCCTGTTGTCTTGTCTTGTGGTCTTGAACTGCCCTTGCATCCTAGGAATTCATATTTAATTGGAAATATCTTTTATGGAATACTGTCATGACAATATCAACAGATTAAGCAGTCATTTGAGCAGTGACCATAAATTAATGTGCATTTTACTATCTCCATTCACTGGAAATGCACACTGCACTTCTTGCTTTGCTCTGGGATTAAATGTGACATCAAAAAGCAGTCTTGATTGAAAGATGTTTCACACTTCCCTTCCTTGGGAAATTCCAAACAGTCCTGCAAAGTCCCCCCGCCTCCCCTGCCCCCCGCCTTTGGAATAGAACTAGCAAATCATACAGGTTGAGCAGCAATTATAGAATCACAGGTATAAGAAAATGCACAGACTTGGCAAGCATTGTATGATCATGAGGAAAAGATGACATGGTTGCTTCTTTCCCCTGCCTAGCATGATTTGTGCATGACTTACTGTGTCATCCAAACCTGGAAAGATGCATAGTGGGGGTGGCTTTGAAACCACCCAACAATCCATGGTTCATTGTAAGGTTCTGGGGAAGTTTGAAGAGGAAACCTTCAGCCCGTCTTACTGGCAAGTCATGTGTTGCATGCCTACCATGGCCTCTTTTCTCCAGGGCCATCCAAACCAAGCCAGTACAAATGTCAGCACCTTAGAAAACCCAGACTGCTGATTCTGTCCAGATCCAACTGACTTTGCTCTGCCCTTCATTGCACATATAATCTGACTTGATGTGGGCATCCACCTTGGTAGTCAGATATTATTTATATTGGAACAGCTCATTCAAATACTGCTTCATCTCAGTAATGCCAAAAGATGTAGGATTAATCAATAGATACTTTGGCCAGGAGGTGCATTGAAAATTTCAGTTTTGTTAGGTTAATTCATAGTATTTTCAGTATGTACTATATAAGGATTTAGGCCTTTCCTTTGCTGAAAATGAATAAAAATCAAACACTTGAGCCTCCATGGTCCATTTTTCACAGAACTATCACAAACTATAGATTTATTAGAACATTCTCTTAAAATTAAAATCATGTGGAGGAAAGAAAGGGAGCACTGGCAAACCAAAACCCCTCTGGCACGTCATCTTCCTCTTATTTGCAGCCTTTCCTGAACTGAAGGGATGAACTTCTGAAGCAGGGATACTCTTCTGCTCATAGAGGAGACTCCATGGGTGAAGCAGGGTCCTGAGTATATAGAATTCTAAACTGCACAGAGGATCTCAGTGTATAGAGGAAAAGAAAGATTTTGAGAAGTTTCTCTTTCAGTTCATGGACTGCTGCAAACCAGGGGCAAGGAAAATGTGGGAGTGGGTGGGGCTTGCCAGTGTGACTTCACTCTCTCCATCATGTGAAGAATGGAGCCACCAGAGCTTGACTCCTAATGCAGTACCATGAGGATCCTTCAAGTGTCTCATCTCCATTATCTAGCCCATGCATACACTGTAAATGATAGATTACTTGCTTAAGAATTGGATGGAGCATAGGTGGTTTCGTTACAGTGGGAAGAAGAACTGGCTGAGACCTGGAATGCTTAGTACAGTGGTACTCGGCTCATGAATGCCTTGGTTCACAAACAAATTGGGTCACGAACAAAAATTTCTGAAAAATTTTGACTTGGGTCACGAACACCGCTTTGGGTGGCGACCAAGATTGCAGCCATTTCTTTCCTGCAGGAAAGACGGGAGCAGCAAAACAGAGCCATGGGGGAGATGGCCGACATTCTGCCTGTCTTTCCTGCAGGAGCGCGCCTCTGACCAGGCACACCTTCCCTGCACGAATGGAACTGCAATTGCGGCCATCTCCCCACCCCCAGCGCACTGTTTGCGTCCATCTCTCCATCCCCCAGTGCACCCATGATCATGCCTGTCTCCCCCCCACCCCCCAGCGCGCTGGGATGACGGGCGCATGCAGGGATGACAGGCACGTGCAGGGATGACAGGCGCGATCTCGGTCATGCTGCGGGGGGGCGGGGAGATGGCCACGCTTGTGCTCAGGAAGTGGAGAGGAGATGGCCTCGATCTTTGTTGTTGTCACTTTGCTTCACATTTTTCTGATTTAAAAAATGGTTACAGAACGGATTAACCTTATTTACATTGAACCTTATGGGGAAATTTAACTTGGCTCATGACCAGTTTGGGTCACAACCAGAGTCCTGGAATGGATCATGTTCGTGAGCCAAGGTACCACTGTATTCAAGAAGCTCAAGCATTGTATTCAGTTGGTATTTGGAAGTATTTTATAACAACATGCATAAAGTCATGTATAGAATATATGTGAACTTGTGTACATATTTTTCCCAACCAAGGATTGATGTTTAACATTCAGTAACATTGGGAGCGAGTGCTTGTTATTGATTTTATAGTGAAATCATTTATCACTAACACAACACACATACTCAGGCTCTCTGATTAAGGGTGCAAACCTCAGCACATAGATATAGAAAATAGCCTCAAAACACTTAGTGCTCCCACCTGATGCATTCTGGGGCTTCCACGTGGGAGTTCTAGGCCTTTTATGTCTAAACGTTCAGCACCCTAATGTTCTGAATTGGCTACAAGCAAAAGGACACAATTTTATCTGCAGCTCAGTTTTGTTTTATGTATTTCCTCAGGAACTTTTAACATGCTGTGAAGAAGGAAAGGGGGAACTCAAGGATGGTTTGGAAGTAATGCTCAGTGTCCCTAAGAAAGCCAATGATGCCATGCATGTCAGCATGCTGGAAGGTGAGCACTCTTGCACAGCTCAGAGAAGTCTGTGTCTTACATCACCATATTTATTTATTTATTTTTATTTATTAAAACATTTTTATGCCGCCCCATTTGCCGAAGCCTCGGGGCGGCTTACATATCACAGTGGGCTAAAGAAAGCTCATTGTTACTTTGCTTGGATAAGAGTATTTGTAGTTACATGGCGGGGGGGGGGTGTTTTTGTTTTTGAAAGTACTTGGTGTTATTGACTCTCTATGAAGATTCCTGTGTCTTATTGCAAAAGCAAACTAAGCTGTGCCATGTTTGTCAGGGCTATGTGTGCCTGCTCACTCTCATACACACACCAGTTTGAAATTGTCAGGCTAGTACCTAATCAGTACCTAATTGCTCTAGTGTCATGACTTTACTGTTTCCCTCCCCACGTGGTGCATGACATATTTTGTGGGCCTCGTTTTGTTTACAGTGGTTTTGTATTACAGTAGGAAGACAGCCAAAGGGTCTTTGCTTTTGGGAATTTTGAAAGTTCTGGGTGCATAGCCATATCCCTTCATTACTGTCAGCAGCTCCTCCAGGTGCTTCAAACAGGGCCATTTCCCAGGGATGGACCTGAAGAACCCAGGGATCACACCTGGACCTTTTTGCATGCAAACTCTGCCTTGCTACTAAGCTATGGCCTCTTTCCTCCAAACCTAGATGAGAGGAAAAGTGAGCTTATATGGTCAAAGAACAGATAGGATCAAGCTTGATCTGGAAAAGACGTCAGGTACAAACTCAGTCTAGTAAAGAATTTTATGGTATTTATGGAATAACAGTTATACACATATGTCCTTTCTTTTGGTAATTCTCAATTTTGATCTTATTGGTGTCTCAAATGAATTTCATAAGTGATCATTTGTTTTCATTTGGTCCAAATTTTTTGTCTGTAGGTTTTGATGAAAATTTGGATGTTCAAGGAGAACTGATTCTTCAGGATTCCTTCCAAGTATGGGATCCCAAGTCTCTCATCCGGAAGGGCCGCGAGAGGCACTTGTTTCTCTTTGAAATTTCTCTTGTTTTCAGCAAAGAGATCAAAGATTCTGCAGGACACACTAAATATGTTTACAAGAATAAATTACTGGTATGTCTGCTAAGATGAACATTTTATTTGATTAGGGATCTTTGCTAATTATATTAAAATTAAAATTAAGTTTTCTATGTTTTTGTACAAAATTTGGAAGAAGTGTACAATGTGGAGCCATTTGGTCAAATGCCATGAGAACTAGCTTTAATGCTATTTTGCCTGGGAATAAAGTACACAGGGCACCTATAAAAGCGATTGCTACTCGTTTTAGCAATTCACATTCAGGTGCAGTAAGACATTAGATGTGAGCTCCTTCCTAGCCTCGGTTATTATGTCTTGAAGATATAATTTCCAAATAACTATTCTTCCTAACAGACCTCAGAGCTGGGAGTGACGGAACACGTGGAAGGAGATCCCTGCAAATTTGCCTTGTGGTCTGGTCGGACTCCCTCTTCCGATAACAAAACTGTGCTTAAAGTGAGTCTCTGGAGTCGATGCCTGTGCCTTGGTTCATTGTGCAACCTGGAAGTGTTAGACAAAGTCACGCTCTGTGGTACATTATAAAGCAGGTGGCTGGTGGATCTTGTTTCAAAGAAGAATTTCAAGGTTTCGTGCTTTATCAACACAGTTCAGTTCTTTTGACTGTAGCCTCTTAGCAGTCCTATACTTGAACAGGTGGTAGATACAATCCACTGATGGTGTTTGATTTATGATAATATAGTTGCAGAGGTGGATTCAAGTAGCAGAGCTGGACTTTGACTTTCACCTGGGTAATTGTACCCATGTGAGATTTAGAGATAAAGAGGGAGAGAGAGGTAAAAATAACATATGACCCAAGCTTTGTGCACACCAGGACTCTGACAGTTTGCTTTCTCCTCCTAGCAAAGTGCCCCCCCCCCCGCCCCGCTTATGGCACATAATAGTAGCTACTGGCTCAGCTCTGACCATGTCGTGTTCCTACATCTAACCCATGTTTTGTTCGGTTGTGCAATATGCAGTAATTAAACATAGAAAATCTAGGAGGCTGATGGATAATTAAACTATGCCCTAATAGTATTGCGGGAAGGCAGGTGTCTCAAACCCTCACGGTTTTCTAATACAGGAGCACTTCAACAAACAGACAATGAGATACAGATTAGTAACAGTACAGCACCAACTTCATGAGGTCCAAACTATTTTATTTAGCTTTTAATGTATTTATCTAACATATTCAACCTAACATTCATTCTAGGATGTTAGGTTGAAGTATAAAGCCAAAATATTTCATGTTATAATACTGGTACAAGAAAAATAGAAAACAGCAATGAAAACAAATTGAAAACATAAAAAATAGCAAATAAAACTGATCAAATCCAGCATAATACTTTAAAATGTCTGAACATTTAAGTATATTTTGGCCTGGTGCTAAAATGATAACCGTGTCAGAACCAGTCAAGCTTCAATAGGGAGGAGATTCATCACCAAAAAGGCTCTACTAGATGGCTATTTGAGACATTGTGATTAAAAATTCACATTTTTAAAAATTAAAATTACTTTGCTTCCATTGTTGCCACAAACAAGGCACAATAATGTGCTCTCACTTGTGTTTGGTTCCTTGCACCAACCTGCATTCCTGCTGTTCTGTTACCTCTTTATTAGCCTGCAGCTCCTTGGAGAATGACGATGCTAACTGAGCAAGGGCAGAGGCTGTGGGCTGATTATGTCAGCAGTCTGCTTCTTCTCCCTGTTTGACTGGAGCACTCATATGCTTACATAAATTTCCCAGATTCCATCTGAGATGGACCATCACAGTGGGTCCACCCACCCCATAGAGGTACATATCTATTGCCAGTCTAAATCGGAGTTGTCTGCAATGTCGACATGGGATGAAGCAATGCACACATTTACAATTTAGTGCTTATAGCAGAAGATAAGATGGTTTGTGAAAAGATCTTTGATAATCATCGCTTTCTCAACTACTGCCCAGAGCCACTAGAACTTTTGACTCCAGTGATTTTCCTTTCACCTAAGCAACCAGTCATTTTTGCTGATTAATTTTACTTTAACAAGGACCTTGTGGATGTTTGCTTAGGAAATCCTACTAATGGAACAACATTTAGTTTTCCACCTGTAGGCATATTTTATTTTGTGTACTATATATATTTATCCAACACTTCTCTGCCTTGCACATTTGGCACAAACTTTTGCTGGCAGATAGTAGTATAATGCAGACAAAGGAGTGGACAGAATGGCAATACAGCATTATAAAGCAGTGGCCCATACTTGAGAAACATCATAATTTTGACTTCTGATTGCTCTGTTGAAATGTGTAGGCTTCCAATATTGAAACAAAGCAGGAATGGATAAAAAATATTCGGGAAGTCATACAGGAAAGGATTATACACTTAAAAGGAGCTTTGAAAGAGCCAATACAACTCCCCAAGACTCCAGCAAAGCAAAGAAACAACAGTAAAAGGTAATCTTCGTAATTGCTAACAACAGCAACCTTTTCAATGCATGCTTTACTTAAAGTAATTGTTCTGCTACATGTTGGATTTGTACAGATTAATCAGCAATGTAGAAACTGTGTGAATAACTGCATCTTTGACTATCAATAGTGCAATAAATCTCTCCTGCAGGGAATAGAATCAGGCAACCTGTAGACCAAATCTAGCCCTCTAATACTGCATTCCTGAGCAATGCTTCTACTCTAGTTTTCAACCCAGAACTAAAAAGGCAGTAGGAAGGAATTCCAGCAGCCAGACGGGTGAGAATGCCTTGGCCAACTATCATTCATCTTTTTTTTCCCCTCAAAGCCAGGTCATTGTATCTGTACCTGCTATCCACATCAAATTTTGTTTCCTCCATTATCAGTTGTCCACCTTTTAAATTGTTTAATTTCAAATTCCATGAGAATGGCAGTGGGTTTGCTGCTTGATTATAACCCAAAGGATCTTAGGCAGTCTATTCATATAGAGAATAAAGGAAGACCAAAATGTATAGAAGTATATTGGCTACATCAGCCCAAAGTGTAATATGCCATTGTTTAATATAAATAAACAAGAAGAGAAGAGAAGAGAAGAGAAGGAGATGCTTTGCTTAACTACTAGTAAAATGACCCTCAATCGGAAAGGATAGATCTTCTATTTTCCATAAGCAGTAATTTCTCAAATTTCTTTGAAGGAAATAAAAGTAAAAAGATGAAAGAAGGCAGAAATCAGCCCCCCTGCACTGCTTGTATGAAAAAGGAGGCCAGTAGGAAATGTAGAAGGTAATATGGGAATAATCCTGTGCCTCTTTCAGGTAGCCATTATGACCAAGAAATATGCCTAGGAATTATTTTCATATATAAAGCTAGAATTAGCTTGCTTTTACACCAAGGTATTATGTATAATATTTCTTCAGAGCATGAGATGTATAAATTAAATTTAGACACATTGCCTAGGTATTTATTTATTTATTTACATCCTTCCTTTTTCTGGAAGGAACTCAGCATGGCTAACATAATCCTCCTCCTCCTCTCCATCTTATCCTCACAACAACCCTGTGAGGTAGGTTAGGCTGAGAGTGATTGACTGGCCAATGTCACCTAGTGAGCTTTGGGACTGAGTGGGACTAGAACCTGGATCTCCCAGTTCTTAGTCGTACACTCTAGTCACTACACTACACCACATTACACTATACTGAGTCTCTTATATTCGTTTAAATATGGTAAATGATAAATGTCTAATAATAAACAGACTTCTGGCTCAAAAATTACACTATGAATACATGAGTCATGCTATTTTATAGCTGACTAAAATAGATATTTGCACTGTAAGACCAAGGAGATTTAAAAACACACACTGTTGTATAATTTTGGTTTTAAACTAGAAAATAGAGTTGACTGCAGAATAAATCGAAGCTTAGACATACTAGGTTTAGTGCAGAACATAGTCTTTCTTGGATGGGGTAACTTTGTTGTAATAAGAAACACTGATTAAGCACATTCATATGTCATGCCAAAAATAAGCCACAATGGATTTGCCGCCATGTAAACTGCCCACAATGAGTCCTGATAGTTGACTGGGCTCAGCGTGGGTTGTTGGCACCCTTCTTCCCACTTTGTCCTCCCACAGGAATCCCAGGGAACACCTTGGAAGAACCAAGGCTCCCACCACCCTGCCAGCATTACTGCAAGTTATTTTGGACTAGTTGCATATTTTCCCATTTAAAACCTCTTTTTGGGTGGAAGCGGGGACTTGCAAAAGATGTTTATCAAGCAGTCCCACTTGTGACAGCTGCAAGAAGTCCCTTTAAAGTGCTCCAGAGGTTTCTTGGAGGGGCTGCCCATGCTTGCCCAGCAATTCTAGGTGTTCAGAAAAGTGCAAAATGAACTCCCCTCCCTTTTTAATGAAAAAGGGTTTTGACAGCTTTGACAGATAGTTGTCAAAATCCTGGGTCCTTTAAAAGTGGGAGTTCAGTGGTAAATGGGTGGTTTTGGACAGGGACATATATCAGTGTACACACAAGTTCAAAAGTTCCAGTTCCTGGTAAACACTCTTTGTAAAGGGACTCAGATTTTTGACAGCTAGCTATCAAAACCCCCTTTTCCCTCATAAAAGTCAGGGTGTACTTTTGCACTTATTTCATTCCTCAAGGTTTGGAACAGCATGTGAAATGAATACCAAGGTGGAAATTAAGTGGGGAGAGTGGGGAAAAAGACGAGGATCATGCTGCAAAGCAAGTGTACATCCTTCCAGAATAAGATTTTCTCAACACAGGATCACTCATGCCTTTGAAAAACTTTATTTTTTTTTTCCTTTTCCCCTTTAGTTTCCATAAGGTACACATTTTGCACTACATCCCCATCACCTAGGTTCTTGGAAAAGTGCAAATTTGTACTCCCAGTTTTTTTTAAGGGAAAAGGTGCTTTGGGAGCTAGCTGTCAAAATTCTCTCACCCATTTAAAAAAATGGGTTTAGAGTAGGAACTGGGTGGTATTGGACTGGGCCATATGAGAGTGTGTGTGTGTGTGTGTGTGTGAGTGAGTGTGTGTGTCACAATCCAAAACCATCCATTTCCTATTCAAACACCCATTTTTAAAAGAACCCAGAATTTCAACAGCTAATTAGCAAAGATTTTAAAACACATTTTTCCCCTAGAAAAAAAGTGAGTGGGATGCACTTTTGGACTTTCCTGAGCATCTAGAGTCTTGGGACAAAATTAAGAATATGTGCCCTGGTGGGAATTGAACATGGGGAAAGATGATTCTGCTACAAAAGGCATGTGAATCCCCCAAAATACCCTTTCTGCAGCTAAAGATCACTTGCATCTGACATTTTGCATGTTGATTGCTGTCACATGGGGAGAAAGGGCTTAGCTGCTGCCTCTGAGTAGCAATGCAAGGGAAGATACCTTTACCAACAGGTCTTCCACCTGCACATTGCTTGTCCAAGGCACTCCGTCTCAGAACTTGTGCAGCTGCAAATATTCACCAGTAGAGGTAATAATATTTGCGAAAATTTCAGGGAACTCTTTGTTTTTCAGTTGGGAAGCCATCAGCAGTCCTTCCAATGTGCTGCTGGAGAATTTAGAAGAGATTACTTGTAGCTGTAAAATCAGGGTCCACAAAATCCAGCTTGAAAATCAGCTTTCATGGTCTCCCCATGTAAACAGTAAAGGAAAACAAAGCCACAGTGAGCCCAAGTTCACTCACAGTATCGGCAGGGAGAGGAGAATGGCTTATACCTCCTGCAATGACTCTGGGATACCGGAAGGAGCACCAAGGCAGTGGATGGGGCCAACAACATACAGTGAGCTTGATTGTCTCACTGTGGGTTGTTCAACACAAGGAATCCATATCCACTTCTTACACCACATCAGCATGATGTGCAAATGCACCCACTGACTTTCCCTAGATACCCTCATAGTCTCACTCCTACTTTAGAAACCAGTGACAGGAACCACACTGGGCTAGTGATGGTGGTACTTAGAAGATCTTAGGTGCAACTTTAATGCCTCTCACTTATGTATCATAGTGGAGCAATGCAATTTATTCAGGAAAGAATTGAAGGGAAAGGTAGAACATATTTGAAACATGGAGTATATTTTGTGAGTCCATTTTGCAATTTATACAACACTCAGACTTATTTTCTTAAAGATGTTTATGGCTTCCTAATTTAAACCAGTAAAATGTGAGAACTGAGAAATAACCCTTAGCAATTGACATGTTTTGCAGAACAGCAAGGTTATAATTTAGGTGGCTGGATTTGTTTAATTGAGAAATCCAAGCCAAATAGGGCCCTGGCCTGCCACACTAATTACAGAGCTATTTTAAGATCTGTTGCTGTCACCAAATAAGCCTAGGCTAGTCGATTTCAAAGAGTAAACATGGCGATTATGTACTAACCTCCTGGTAGAGACGACATCATCATTCTAAATTACAGATTGAGTTGCAACGCATGGGTGATCAGCTGAACAACTGGCTCTTCATGCACTAACTGAGCAGTTACCAAGTCTATTGACAAAATTTCCTTTTTCTTTCCCTAAAGAGAGGGAGGAGAAGATGTTGACAGCCAAGGAGATGGGAGTAGTCAACCTGACACAATTTCAATTGCATCCAGGACTTCTCAGAATACAGTAGACAGTGACAAGGTAGGATTTATTCTTGATAATGTTGCAACACTAATTCTTGCTCAGTGAATTTGAAATCTGTAATGTAATGCAGAGCAACAAAAATGAGGTGTTATTTCTTTTCTGAAGTGGTTAAACTACCGTGGGTTTAGTAATATTACCTGGGATGAATATCTCAGCCTAATAATTGCAGGCTGTTAACATGCCAGCAGTGAATTCCACTATTGCACTTAATTCAAATCGTTTGTAAGTGCTACTGCTGCATCTATGGAAAGATAATCTTCTGGAGGAAGATTGCCTAGCAACAGTAACACAGGCATTGGTTACTTCCCAGTTGGATTTCTGTAACGCGCTTTACGTGGGGCTGCCCTTGAAGACAGTTCGGATACTTCAGATGGTGCAAAACAGAGCTGCCAGGATGCTGTTGGGGACTGGGCGTTATTCTCATATAACCCCAGTCCTCTATCAGCTCCATTGGCTTCCCATCGAAGTCTGGGCTCAATTCATGGTGCTGGTTATTACCTATAAAGCCCTAAACGGCTTGGGACCAGGGTACCTAAAGGAATGCCTTCTTCCCTATTTGCCCTCCCGCCCCCTGAGATCAGCAGCAGAAGCCCTTCTCCAGGAACCCTCTGTGAAAGATATTAGGAGACAGAGTACCCGGAGGAAGGCTTTCTCTGTGGTGGCGCCCTGCTATGGAATGTGTTCCCCAGAGAGGTCCACCTGGCACTGTCATTGTATGTTTTTTGGCGCCAGGTTAAGACCTTTTTATTTAATCAATATTTTAACAAGTTTTAATATTGAATTTTATTACCATATTTTAATTGCAGCCAGAGTGGTCATTAATTTATTTATGTTATACTATTATGTATTGGTATTTTATTTGTGTAAGCCATCCTGAAACTCTCTCAAAGGACGGCATACAAATATCTTAAATAAATAAAATAAAGCCTCCAGGCTGAACTAACTTCTTAATTTGGAGCTCTAGGCCTCAACATGGACAGTGTGAATTGCACGTCATTCTCCAATCAGTTTAGTCAAGATCACCAAGAGTTTACATGGGTGCTGTGCAGGGAACAGGGAACCTCCAACCTTCAGAGGTTCAAGCTCCCTTTCCCACCAGCAACAAGTGCGGGGAGGACACCCCTCTGTCATCTCTGATCCATAGCTAGGAAAACCCCATGTACAGTGAGGGACTGGATAACGTCAGTGATGATGGCCTACCCTCTGATATCATCCAACCTGAGGAAGGGTTGGTGGGAGCTCGTTTGGCTCCCCACACGCCGCTCGCCTTTATATATGTAAAGATAAAAGAGTTGATCTTGGCAATGGTGTGGCTGCTGAATAAATTGAAAAGACTTTCTTTTCCAAGAATTTCTTTTCTTTGGTTCATGTATTGCTTGTACCCAGGAATAGCAAATAAGGAGGAAGAATGGGCGGGGGAAATTAATCACTGCCAATCTGATAGCAACAAGCCACCCAAGTAGTGGCTTCCTTGAGGAAAGTTTTAAAGCAGTTGAATTGAGTAAAGTGTAATAATGTGTTGAAGGCAGAAGAAGAAAAGGAGTAAGAGATGAATTGGTTCCATAAAGGAAACTATAGCCTTGAATTTAGAGCAGCTGAGTAGGAGTGTCACAGAAAGGACATTTTGCAGGGCTTTCATTCACAGGATCACCATAAGTCAGAGATGATTTTTTTCCTAAATTGCCAAAATTAGAGTTTTGTGTGGCATGTTTGTGGAATGGAGTTCTAAAAGGATCTGCTGGGCAACATTTTCTTTCAGAAGCAGAGGAAATAGCCTTAACAACAGTATTGCTGAGAGACCCAGTCTGTGAAATAGGAGTATTTCTTCAATGAATAACTTTTATTGGAGTCTTAAGATCAACAAATTGCCTTAAGAGAGCTTATTCCGGTTTAGCTGGTTTCTTTTCCTGCTAATAGAGTAGCAGTGGTGTTTTCCTGCATAGATATCTCAAAGGTCAATGGGGATGGGCCAAGCATGGTTCAGATGTAGCGCAAAAGTTAGCTGTGCTTCTTTTTCCCTTTGAAGGCCATGTTTTGCTTTATTAAATAGAGATAAATTATCTGGATTGGGAACATGGTTGCACAACTGCTTAACTTTATTAATAGTCTGAACTTCTGGGTTTTAAAAGATACTTTGTTTCTAATATTTAAACCCCACCATTATATTTATCATGAAAGTCTGATAAAAAAAATTAAGCACAGCATGGGTAGGTTTGCATCATACAACACACCATCCTGCAAAACTCGACATGCAGTGCAGCCTGCAACGACTGGCATGACAGACCATGGTGCATGTCAGGGCTCTGGAGCTGCTTTCCCCCTCCACTCACCTTGGTCCTCCCACTTTAGGAAAGCACAATGATCTTGTAGCAAAAGCTATGGACTGATGACTTTAAAGGACAAAAGAATCTAAGTGACACAGCCAGTTTTATAGTATACTTGGTTATGTTTGGGTAAATATTTGAAAAACTGCTGTCTTCTGCAGTTTAATGCCTCCAGAAAAGCACCAATAAAAATATATTCATAACATATAGAACTAGTATTGATTTTCTTGATTTTATTTAAATCTGTAACCATCAACTGCTCTCCCTTTGCTGGTTATTCCCTCTTAATATTTTCAGACTGCGTCTGCCTTGCTCATGTGTATCTGGGACGTTTTTCAGGAAACCTTTGTTCATGCTATAGTTTCATAATATAATGTACATTCTATTACACATTATCTACTTGAATTTTTTTTTCATTCCAGTCACTACAAATTTCTTCCATAAAAAAACAAACAGGTGAAGGAAAAAGGAAGGAAAAAATTTAAAGAAACTCCAGTACAATTAAGAGAAAGTTATAATCCAGACTTTTATCAGTGCTACAATACTGTAGAGAGAGCTCCTTGATCAGCATCACAAGTGCCAAAGCATTTAGCAAGGAGAAACTCCCCCTTCTGTTACAAACACAGGTTTTATGGGTCACATTAGTTACATCTGATCCCTTCTTGGAACACAAACAAATCAAGAAAGAAGGAACTTGGTATCACAGTTATCATGTGGTGCGTTTTACTATATCTTAGGTCTGGAGATTTCAAAATACTGTCACAGTGAAAGATTCTCCAACTTTCCGCACTCCCCAAAAACCTTAATCATTGAGAGATCCTTGGTCTTGATTATACAGTGGTACCTTGGCTCACGAACTTAATCCATTCCAGGACTCTGGTTGTGACCCAAATTGGTTGTGAGCCAAGTTAAATTTCCCCATAAGGTTCAATGTAAATAAGGTTAATCCGTTCTGTAAACATTTTTTAAATCAGAAAAATATGAAGCCAAGTAACAACAACAAAGATTGCAGCCATCTCCCCCCCCCCCCCCAGCACGACTGAGATCACGCCTGTCATCCCAGCACACACCCATCATCCCGGCGCACTGGGGGAGGAAGAGACGGGTGCAAACGGCGCACTGGGGAAGGGAGAGACGGGCATGAATGGAGTGCGTGGGGGAGGGAGAGATGGGCGCAATCTCGGCCATCTCCTCCCCCCCACCCCCAGCACGATCGCAGCCATTTCCGCACTTGAGGAAATGTGACAACACACACCTTTCCTGCACGAAAGCAAGTGCGATCGTGGCCATCTCCCCACTCAGAGGTGGGGGGGTGGGGAGATGGCTGCGATCTTGTTCACCACTCAATGCGGAGTTCGCGACCCAGCTCAAAATTTTAATGAAATTTTTGTTCATGACCCCATTTGTTTGTGAACCAAGGCGTTCATGAGCCGAGGTACCACTGTACTTTGCTTCATAAGCTGCATAGCTTTGGCTAAACTTTAAGCTATTTTCCTTCCATAGTGTGTTGCCTACATTCCTGATCATCTTTTATCATAAATGCTGTTGCTATGCTTGTTGTCTGCCTGCTGGAACATGGAAGAGCAGGGAGGATGCATCAGCCCCAGGAACAGGCATGGTGGCAAGGCAATCTTTCCTATGGGAAACTAGGTGACTGCTGCGCTAGTTGAGGTGCAAGTTTCAGCAACAGGTGGTATCACCTTTCTCCTCCCAGCCCCTTCCTCCATTGGAGGAGGAAGTGGAACCTTATTGTAATAAATGGGAATCATGGGGGCAGACCTGGAATGGAAGAACATTTCTGAACAACAACTGAAGGATTAAAGAAATCAAGTTCTAAGCTCATGTCAGACAACAGCTCTCAGTCTTGCCAGGCTGGGATAAATGCTGGCCACAAAGGTGCAAATGTAGGACAACAGATTATTATTATAAATCAAATAAGAGTTTCAGGCAAAGGGCCAAAGCTCAGAATGAAAGCTAAACATGTGAACACTGAAGGTTTGTAATAGATATTTATGTTTTGGAGGGAAATACGTTCTGTCTGTTCAAGCTATTAATATCACAGCAATAAAATTTCTCAGGAATAATTATTAAGTGATATCACTCAATAATTAAAACTATAGCAGTAATAAGAGTAGGGGAAAGGTAGACAGTCACAGAAGATAAAATCAGTTTTTAAAGAGACACTGTCCTTTTGTAAATGTTCTGAATGTATTTAAATGTTAATATTTTAAGGAAATGAGTATGTACCCTTGGCTGTTAATGCTTAAGTGATTATCCTGTGGATAATACTTTGCCCCAGCCATTGGCCAGATTTCAAAGTAAAATACTTCTTTTATCTCCCTTCACACCCTTCCTATTATACATCAGTATAAAGTGTTTGAATGGCCATGAGGATTTCCATAGGAGGCAGAACAGGAAGCTGTCTTGCAATGTGCAGGAAAAGTATTTGACATAGGAAAGCACTATATGGATCCTTTACTAAAAACAGGCTGCTGCCCTACTTTGATTAGTGTAATTACACTGACATAAATGAAGGAGGGTGTCAAATTCATACAGGCTTTCCAAAACAAGAAAATTCCAAGTTAAAATATCCTCTGAAATGCTTCAAAGGAGGGCAATGAAAATGGTCAAGGAACTGGAAACAAAGTGTTATAAGGAAAGAACAAAAGAACT